CTTCTTATAAACATTTTGTATTTTCTTGAAAATATTTTTATTATTTGTTGTTTCTGTATCTCCTATATTCTAATATCTTATATTTATTTTCAGACAATTCAACACTTCTATTTCCCATGGTTGTAACACACATGTTTTGGTAATGAGCAGAACAATATTGCTATCATTATAAGTCTTATAAAATACATCATATAAACTATCATACAACTAACGGACGTTGTATTTCCAACACTCCACCAGAAATAAAACACTTAAATCAATACTTTTTTATAATGTGATTGCGGTTCAACTATCACGCTAAGCGGAACATTCCAAAAACTCTTAGTCTACTTTTAAACGCTGCAACTTTTAAATAGAATTCCAATGATTCGGAAAACAGGAGCAAATGTTGAGACTAGGCAACGACCAACTTCGTAATGGCATAAAACTTTGCCGGTGTCAAACTATATACCTACGTAGTCGCTTTCCAATAGTTTTATTTTAAAGCTGACAATTCCAAAACGAAAGCTTATTAGGTGGTGTCATTTTCAACATTAATTTTCAATTGCTAGATTGCGAAAAAAAGACTAAATTATTTTCCTCCTTTCTGTTCTGTTCCCCAAAATAATACAACATAAAATCATCAATTCAAAACTTGCCACTTAACAGATGACAGAATACTAAAGAAATGAATCGTATAAAACTCGAGAAAAAGTCATTTATAATGAAAGCATTAACGACAGAAGGAAACCTTGGATATCATATTTCATGAACTTGTCAATTTTTAAGTTAAGACGGCAGAATAGGGGCGCTCAGACAAAAGACTAAAATGTTGACTAAGTCTAGCCAAGTTGCCATACATTAGAAAAACATACTAACTACAACTAGCTTTACTGAAAATAAAACGACCAAACCAGATGCTAAACTTAGTTCAGAGTGTAAGATCTTAAATCCTTTTAATTGACTCCAAAAAGTTTCTAGTCAGCTACAGCGGGTCGGGCCAGAACAGGAGATACTCTGTCTTCTCACCCAGGGTTGAACAAGTAATTGAGAGATCCCTAACCCAAAAAGTGTGCTGCAACTAAAGACGCAAGTCTGCACGCCCTTAATTTGGGGGTATCTCGCATTTCCAATGGAGGGAGCTAAATTTATTTTGGAAACTTGGTAAAACAAAGATAAATTTGAATCGACTCCGCAGAGATTAATGTACCAAGTTTTAGATAGACCAGTGGTTGATGGGGACGAATGTCGTGTCAAGTCGAACAAGTATGAGATTAGCCATTGGATAAGGGATAAGACGGAAATTAATATAAGAGGATTTTCATACATTAAAACTTTGTAATCGGCTCTAGCGGTGTGATTAATTTGTGAGACAACCACTTTGGTTTAAACTTGAGATTATTTTTGCAAGTGTTGTGTGATCTAGATCTTTGGCTAAATTTCCTTAAAACTTGACTTTAGAGGCCATTGCTGAAACTGAATTTATCTGCCATATTTTAATGGATGTTATAATACAAATAAACCATCCATATTCAAAATCCATTGCATATTTTTAAAGACTTCAGCATATATAGGGATAAAGTGACAAAGAAAGCGACTTTGTTTTACACACATAGTGATTATTTTAATTTTACCTAGAATTAATGATGAGTATTGAAGTTGTGCTTTAAATGCCTTACTTAGCGAGTCAGTTAAGTTCTAAATCTATTTAATTGTTCTAGCAATTTTATTTTTCCAATTGTAAATTCTTTTTTTTTTTTAATGTAATAAGTCGGCAAACGAGCAGACGGATTATAGAAAACTTATAACTATATTTACCGGGGGCCCAATCCTTCTCCTCCCTAATCCCTCCTCAATCCCTTAATCTCCAAATCCCTTATGCCTAGAAGGTCTGCCACGAACTCGTAACTACTCCGTTGCGGGTGTCCATGGGCGGCGCTGATTGCCTACCATCAGGTAATACGATTGCTCGTTTGCCGATCTATTACATAAAAAAAGATAAAATCTTCAATATGATAAATAGATGGATAGAATACTCTTTATTGTACACCATAATAGTAATAAAACAGGAAACACACACACTACACAATACAATTGGTGGCCTTAACGCTAATAAGCAATTCCTTCCTGACAAACCTTTGGATATAGTTTAAATGAAGAAGAATTTAACACAAGCAATTATGTTTAAGAATATTAAGAAACTAATTAGGTATAAAGAAATGGAAGGAAAACAAGTACTACAAATAAAATACATCAATATAGCGATGATTGGATACGTTATTGAGCCATGTGGTGAATACTCACCATTTTTTTAAAACTGCTTTCGGCTTCATACGTCTAATTGTCACTAGCAAAGCATTCCTCAGATGCGTGGCTACAATAAAAATAATCATCGCGAACAGTTACTAAATCTCATTTTTGTACCAGCTCAGCAATTTCTATATAAAACTCTCTCTAGTGTGCAATTGTAATCAAGTTATATAGCAGAATCCAATTAATGCTTTAATTAGATCTCACATCTCTACACTGGAAAGAATCTTAAAAACTTTACCTCCAGAAATTTCGACTTAAATAAGTATTTTAACAATAGACAGCATTTAAATTAACTTTTTTTGGACTTTTGTGAGTAAAAAACGAATTATTCTTTCCGCCTTACTATCTTGATTGGGAAGTCTAAAACAATGGTAACTAAGTCAAGTAAAAAAAGTTTGCTCACCCCCGACCTTTCATCGATTGTAGAATTTCATTAAGAAACGGACTTAATTAAATAGTTTTATGAATGCTATACTCTTTTATGAATCATGTCAGCAGATTGATGATCGATGTGGTAACCAATCTTCGCCGCCCATGAACAACTGCAAAACCAGAATTGGCAAGTGCATTGTCAACCTCTTTGGGGAATATAAGTTTTGGGGAAATGTTGGATGGGGTGCATAGTTTGGGACTCCAATAACCTCATTCAACACACGGCGAAAAACTACTCAACTGTAGTTTTCTATGAGGCCGAAGTATACTCATTTGTGCCCAAGCATTGGTTTTTTAATTTAGTTTCATTGTTTTGTTTTACACATTATTACTATCAATTTTTTGAAAGAAAACCTTCTTTGAGGCCGTAATATCACTTCAGTTGACCCAAGCTATTAGTGTTGAACAATGCCTCTCTCACACTTACCTACTTTAATACCACAATCGTAGGCCTAAAACTGACAAATAACTATTGTGAATAAATTAAAATAAGCCGCAACCGTTGCGGGATTAATTCATATTTCATTCATTAATACCTTTGGACCGTAGGGAGATACCCTTATCTTTCTTCCGGTAAGCATTGCTTATTATTTCATTTGATAATGTTGACACAAGCACGGAAACTGTCTTGTGATTTATATATAGCGCAGGTGACCTAGTTATGACATGTGTGGGACCATAATATGAAAGGTTTTAAGTAGAAGGAGACAGCGGATGAGATGGACATCAGGAAACAATTTAAAAATAAAATCTCTCTATACTGCGATACTACAAAACTGAAGAGTTTATTTTTTGGATCGCGCTAACATTCGAAAGTACTGATTCGGGTTGAAAAATTATTTTTGTGTTGGGTAGCCTATTTATTGAGGAAGGCCGGCAATATGATGAAGACTCTTTTGGTGTTCAAATTGTTTGTCGCTCCATTCGATCAAAAAGAACTAACTCACATTCATAACAATTAAGTATAAAAATTTGTACCAAAACGTTTAATATTCCTAGTGTCTGTTACATTAACTCGTCTGTAACTTGCACCACCGCCACAGTTTTCCCCGAAGGTCTGCTCAGTTCTCTCAAGGGTGCTAGTGTGTGCTCGGTTTAGAATGAGTTATGAACATCAGGCGAGGAAAGTTTTTTATTCGCTCTCCTTGCATTCCCATTTTATTCCTCCATTTTATTAATTGTTCCAAGTTTTTGTCGTGACGTTCTCCGGCCAGCTCTTTTCTGTGAATAAGTGCCTATTGAAGGCATAAAAAGTTTTTTATAGAAATTTGTCTCCTTTTTTCGTCTGGCCCCTCCGATACCTACAAATTTTCCTGCTCAATGATTGCCAATGGTCTGGAAAGAGCGTAGGACGTACTAACGTTATAGGTCGACGACATTTGTAGGACCACAGGTCAAACATGACATGTTTTGTTTATATTATTCTGGAAGTATTTCGTTGTGTTGATATATGTATTAAGAAAAAGTGGTCGCGTCCCGTCGAACTAGTATACACGATATACATAGTTATCATCTACCTACAATCACAACACACATCATCAGCCTATAAAAGCCAGCTGCATAAGCAAATGCCCTCTCTCATCACGCTTGCACAAGGCGGATTGGCAATTTCAAACCTATTATTAGAAATTGTGAGTCCAGATTTCTTCACGCTGTTTTTATTTTACTGGTGGTCAGTGGTGCCAAAGTAAACTTACACATTTCATATAACTCGCCAAGTTTCGAACCCACCTTCATCCCACCCATCTTCATCTATGCTCGAGAAAGGAGCGTATTAACTCACGACAACTACCTACAGTGCTTTCTTACTAAAATTATAGCAAAACAATAACGAAATCATCGAAAAGATTAGTTAGTACTCACTTAATAGTTTTACGTTACTTATAATTTCGTTCAGAAAGACAGAAATAATAGTCTAGGCTTAGGCGAACAAAATTATCTGATAGACATCGTGGGAACTCACTTGATGTGTGAAACTAAGGATCAGACCGGAGAACGAGTATTAAGAATCAATATAGAATAAACTATAAACACAGATCAAGGGATCGAGCTCGGTTGAATGAAATAATTAAATACATTACGTAAAGCGCAATAATTTAGCAGACTTGATCTGTACCAGGATAAGGAACAGGGTAGTTTTTACTTAGTAAGGTTCTGACACTCCCTCTTGCACCACTCAGAGCGGGAGAAGTCATTTGATTATTTTTCTGACTCAAAAATAAAACAGTTGCTAGTAGTGCTATACATGACATGCTATCATTTTTTTTACGTAATAGGTCGGCAAACAGCAGTCAGCGCCGCCCATGGACATCCGCAACGGAGTTGTTACGAGTGCGTTTCCAACCTTTTAAGTATTAGGGATTTGGAGATTTAGGGATTGAGGAAGGATAGGGGGAGGGGAAGTATTGGGCCTTCGGTAACATCACTCACACGGCAAAACACAACGCTGTGGTTGTTTCACGCCGGTTTTCTGTGAGGCCGTATAGTATCAGTCCGGTCCAGCCGACCCATTCGTGCCGAAGCATGGCTCTTCCACACTTGATCAGCCCAAAAGTAAGCTATTAGAATAACTTTTTATCACAAAATGAATATTATTTTACTAAAAGTGAGAAAAAAAACTTAATAGGTGTCAAGGAAAACCCGGATGGAGGATGGAACGAAGCTTTTTTAAATTAATTAGTGAAATCATTGTTTTTATTTTTTCAATATATATTTTTTAACAAAATTAAATATATTTTTTTAAACTTGTACTTATACACTTTCATTATGATCAAAGCGAAATAGAAAGACGAAATAAAAATAGCTGGCTTACTTTCTATGAAATAAAGAGAGAGATAGCAAAAAGTTTCATTACATTGTTAAGTCTTATTTTTTCCGTCTGGCCACTTTCCGCAATGCGCGATACGAACTTCCTTTCAAAATCCATAAATTGCGATATGCGTTTTTTCCATCGAATCCCCATCAGGTCTAATTGTCGTCGGGAGTGACTAGAATCTGTTTATGACAAAAACCAGATGGAACACCACATGATAAGCATTGTGCAGTGCAGCCTCCTTGTCTTCTATCCACTACTTATCAAAATAGCTTAATTATCCCTTCCAATAACGGCATCTATTACAAGTCGTTCGACTTGTCGTCAGCCTATAAGCGCGCACTGCTGATCAAAGGCTTATATGTAGACGGTGTGTTTTTTAACACTGCCCTACACAATCGAACTAATAATTAGAATGACAAGTCCAGGTGTCTTTATAATAATTGCCTTCTTCGTTTGTCAGTGTTATCCAAATACACTTAACGTATAGCTTAGAGAAAGTGCCATTGGTACTTGCCAGATTTCCAATACTTTTGCATGAGAAGTGGGCGCCTTAACCTCCGGGTCGTAAGGCAACTATCCTCCTTCTCCTCACACCCCAGCCGCCGTAGTAGGCTACACTGCGGGCTTCGGGGATCGAGAGATGGCGATCGACTGCGGACGCCGAGTAAGGGTAGCTCGCCGCCTGACCAGAACCAGACCCGAGCTTAAGGCGCGTAGCATTCCAAGCGCGCTTCAAAGAGCCAATAGAACACGTCAGACGGGGCTCTATAGGGCTGATGTTAAACCGGGATTGCGAGGCAAGCGCAATGAGGTGCCGCGACCTCGGCCTAGAACAGGAACGAGGATGGTTTTTAGTCAGAAAGAGTCTGACAGTCCCTCCTACCCTGGGCGAGAGAAGTCATTTGATGATTTTCCTCTCAAAAAACAATCTAGGGCGTTTTATTAAATAGAAAAGGTACTCATGAAGACCATTAGCTGAAGGATGAAGCGATTTTTATTGGATGAATTGCTACAATAGTTACATTTGTGACCATAACAAAAATTGAATCGACTAAAATGTTGCTAATATCGGTTATGTACAGAGATTTCACTTATGTATTTTATGTTTCATTTTATGGCTTATTAAACTTGTTGGCTAAGATATGGCACATGCCATAGGTAAAGATTAATAAGCCAATAATTAACGAACAATAATGCGATTTTGCTTTTTTGAAATATACATTCATTCATTGTATTTGCTAAATACACTATGATTCTAAAATCAATCAGAATATGGCCTTCATTGAAATTAATTACAATAACTGCGACTTGGATTGTATTTGCTATAGTAAGTGAGTATTCTAAGATTTACTATGATTATCTTCGTTTATAATTGTATCGGTAGCAAAAATCTAAAATATTTCCAGTGGAAACCATTTTGTTGTTAACTAGGTAATGCTGATCTCACTGAAAATTTCTACTAAAACCATAACCTAGTTGTATCCCTATCGTATCACAATATAGCACGATAATCGAATCTATTCACACATACACAGTAAGAGTTGCGTGTATTTCAGATCCTTACAGGTCGACCTAATAAAAGCATGTTGAAAGTCACTCATAGAACCCCGGCGTGAAATAACCACAGAGTTAATTTTCGCCGTGAGAGTGAAGTTACTGGGGGCCCAGTCCCTTCCCATTCCATAATATCCCTAAAAGGTCGGCAAGGCACTCGTAACTTCTTTGGTGTTGCGGGTGTCCACGAGCAGTGTTGATTGCTTAACATCAGGTTAATCCGTCTGCTCGTTTGGCGAGCGATATCATAAAAAAAGTATAAGCAGTTAACAACAAAATTTTAATTTTAATTTTTACCACAGGCATCAACAAATACGCCCAAGCTACAAGTTACGCATCATTAAAAGAAGAATTTGGACTCATTGACCCTTACCTATTAGATGAAGAGGCTATAAATGTGGTTGACCTTGAAAACTTGACAGACTGCGACTGTCCGCGTGTCCACTTTCCCGTGTGTGCGAAAAACGGTGACACCTACGTTAACCATTGTATTTTAAGATGCAGTGAGGAATCCGAATTTGTTAGATTCGGCTCGTGTATATCATACAGAAGAATGGATAGTTTTGCATTTAATTTAAGTATCCCAACGAAATGGAAAAATTTGAATGATCATTCCCAAATTGAGGCTAATGAACCTGTGGACAAAGTTTATGTGGAAATACCCAAGAAGAACTGAAAAATGTTAAAGAATTACAATTTTATTGATAAAAATCCATTTGTTGTTATTTTTATTTGAAACACCCTGTAATGATTTGGAAAAATTAAAGAAGTTTAGGATTTTCAAGAGATACCTTTTAGACGGAACAAAGTTGCAGCACTTTTAGAATATTTTTACATTATCCGATATCAATGTAAGGCATAAAATTGGTTGAGCTATTTTTCAATGCAAATTCTCAACTAATATAAAGTGCCGAAAATTATAAAATATTCCCACTGATCTAGTAGAACTATCTACAGTTCACCTTAATTATCTTTCAGATGAAAATAGAATTTGTAGACATGGCAACCAACTATTGTTCTCAAATAACACTTAGGCTAATTACTTTTGAGCAGGATGACGCGAGTTCAGCCGGTGGCAGAAGCTAATTCATAATTATAAATATAAAAAAACACATTTTACCCGTATGCCCCACACTCAATACTTCGTTTTTACCATCCCTAAAAGGTAACGTTCTGGTTGTAAGTGTCGATGGGAGGTGCTAAATGCGACAACAAAATATTCAAAATCTAAGAATTTTATATCTTTGTGTATATTTTTCAATGTCCAAAGAGTTAGAAAGAACATTATATGTCATGGTTGTCAGAAATATAAGTAGGTACCGAGGCTAGAGATTTTTTTATGGGATAGTTCGAGGTATATGGTAATGTTCAGGGCATTACCTACTCTACTAGTTTTCTTGCAGTTCCATAAAAACACAATTCTATTAGTGAGACAAATCTGTAAAAATGGAATACTTAGAAATTGAAATATAAATGAATACTGAGAAGTTTAATTAAAATTCCTCGACCTAGTATTTGAAATTGTTTTTTCGGGAAATAGGGTTCGTCGAAAACTACTGTTCATTAATACAGTGCCCAGCGAAAAAATAGAAAACATGGTGGCGTGCAATGCTACCGAAACGCCTTCAGTGTTGATACTTGCTTAAACGGGACGTAAGCTTTGTTGCTACTGATATTCGTATAAAAAAAATCATCGTGAGACTACAATTCATAAAATTGACAAACATACGTTCAAACTTCGAATGTGAATACTAACACGACATTCAACCATAAAAACGGAACAAAATTTTGACTCGAACCATGGGTCACGTTTTCATAATACTAAAAGCATTATTACGTAGACCTGTAAGAGATCAGAAAAGGTCAAAAGGCAAAAAGGTTAAAGGATTCCTGCTGGAAGGCGTCTCGTTACGTATGAATATCCGTTAATATCCGCCTGTCACACCGGAATTATAAATTGAGTTTATGAAGATCTTTGTAACTCTATGAAGGACTTGCGATATATGCACAGATCTTTTTTCTGCCCAGCACAACAAAACTTTGGAATTTGCTTGCGGTGGTGATATTTCCGAACCGCGCACTCCTTCTTAAAGCCCGGCAACGCGCTTATGACTCCTCTGATGCAGCAGATATCCATGGGCGGCGCTGTTCACTTCCTATTAGATGACCCGACTGCTGTTTTGCCTCCTATTCCATAAAAAAATTTTTACCAAGATAAGATAAGAAGAAAGAGAGAAAGAGAAAGAAACACCACAATGTCCTTTAAAGTGTGCAAGAGTCAAGCTTTAGCACGAATGGGTCGACTCGACCGGAGTGATACCACGACCTCAAAGAAACAACTATAGCGTTGTGTTGGCCGTGTGAGTGAGGTTACCTCCCAATCCTTAAATATCCACAAACCTTATCGCCAAAAGACCATCAGGGAATCCGTCTGCTCGTTTGTCGACCTATACCATATAAAAAAACTTTTTCAATTCATTTAATTTTTTTTAAGTCACATACTTTACTTCGGTGTAAACGCAACCATATTGAAAGGTTGGAAACCGGTTCCGGGTTTCTTTCCTGACAGACTCATTTGAATGACACAGTAAATGTTCAAACGTAATAGGCAACGCTTCGGGAAATTACCTCAAGTCCGAATCTTGCTACGCTACCATTGAGGGGTCACACCTGCCGTCTATTGACGTTTGCTATTCATTACAAACCTTTTTTGGGTTACTACCTGATTTCAGTATCCGATCCAATTCTTTTGGATTTTCTTTACACTGGTTTTTACCTACAACTTCGTCCTCATGGAATATTGACGTCAGACAGAATCATTTTTTAAACTATTTTTCTTTGTCAAGTCAAGGTATCTTATTTTTTAAATGCAAAAGTTAAGATGTTTGGATGTTTGTCATTCAATCACGACAAAACGGCTGGACGGATCGAGATGAAATTTGGCACAGGCATAGGACACACTCGGAGTAGGACATAAGCTACTTTTTATCAACATACTACGCGAGCAAAGCCGCGGGCGGAAGCTAGTATAACATATTTTACTTTAATTTAGAAAACGTCTATGCGCCTTATATATGGGATGGGATCAATCGGACAATAGTTAAATGAAGTTTACTCTAGTATTTTGAAAGTATAAGTCATTTTAGAGCAAATACTAAAAATTTGTAACCTAAACCGTAAAATTGAATTCAGCGTCTCACTAATGACAGTTCCCTGGAGGTCTCGAAATCCAAATTCATTTTTTTTATGTAATGGTTCGGCAAACTAGCAGACGGAATACCTGATGGTAAGCAATCAGCGCCGCCCATGGACGGAGACACCTGCAACGGAGGAGTTACGAGTGCGTTGCCGATCTTTTAGGGATAAGGGATTTGGAGACTCAGGGATTGAGGAGGGATGGGGGGAAGGGAAGGATTGGGCCTTCGGTAACCTCACTCATACGGCGAAACACAACACTGTGGTTGTTTCACGCCGGTTTTCTGTGAGGCCGTGGTATCACTCCGGTCGAGCCGACCCATTCGTGCCGAAGCATGGCTCTCCCACACTTAAATTGTTATTCACGCTTCAAATTTGTGGAACATAGGTACAGATAAGATATATTTTACAATGTTAGGATCACTATGTTAAATCTAATACGCATACAATTTTTTAAATACAAATGAATTTCATCATTTAAATGAATAATAAATGGATTAATATAAAAAATATACATATTGTTTGTGTATCTGTAATTATTTCTAACATATCTTTACTAATATGCTAAAGCTGTAGAATTTGGTTTTTGAACTCGCTAATCTCCGGATCCCGATATTATATCATTATGTCGAATAAATTCTTTTTCTTTGAAAATTTATTTAAGTTATTTATGTTCTGTGTTTATTTAAGGGGTTCACATACAAGAATGCTCGAAACAAGACGGCGCACCAAAAATAATGCAATTGACTGTTCCCAAACCTCTTAAACCAAATATCCTATGTTCTTTCTTGTATCCCATCTGTACTAAATGTCATTCATTTCAGATGAGTGGCTAAGAATGACACGAAATGGTTAAAGACCATGTTAAGGACGACATACCGCGACCCATCTCGAAGAAGGAGAAACGATTTCTCTTCTAAAACCGAAAAAAAAGAAACGAGCGTACTCATATTAAAAAGGCTGGCAACGCGCCTGTGAATCCTCTGGTACTTCAGGTGTCAATGGGCGGCGCCGACCACTTACCATCAGGTGAACCGACTGTCTGTTTGCCTCCTATTCCATGAAAAAAGAAAACCTAAAAGAGAGACAGACATACTTTCTTTCAAATTAATAATAATAGTAAGTGATACGAGACATTTCGTGCAGGTCAATTAATATAATCGGTCAATTAGCATTTAACATGGTTCATCATGGTTGAGCAAAAAAAAAAATGTCATTAATCAGTATTGCTTGTGACAAAGCGTATAAAAGCGCAATAAAATTAGCAAGTGCCATTGTGTTGTTTAGTTTCAACTTGAGCCTTTGACATGAAACTATTTTCTACTGTTTGTCATCATAAAGTATCTGCTATTATTTTAGTATGTGAGTATAGTAATTCTTATATTAAGAGTGCGTTGCCGACCTTTTGGGGATTAGGGATTTGAAGATTAGGCTTCCGGTAACCAAACTCACAACCTTCATGAACCGAAGGCAAATGGGGCAGAAAGTTTTTCAAAGGTAGGTTTCCTACTACTTTTGGGTTTATTACTACTAAGAATATAGGTGGCTCTCAACTGGCCGTCTGGATTTAATCCCAGACCCCACAGGATTTTCGTATATATGTATGTAATAAATCAAGGAGTTAGTAAATTACTTCCCTCGCCCAGGGTGCGGCAAGAGGGAGTGCCTCTTATGTCTCCTACACGCTTTCTGATACATACACTCTGCTAAAATTTCTGTAGACCCAAAACAACAAACTCTTGATCCCAAAAAGACTTGTTCAGTGCTAGATGCTCAATAGCCGGGGCCCACCACACATTTGAAAGTGATTTATGTAGTTAACAAACGACTTTAATATTTTTTACAGGTCTTGAAATTTTATTGTTTACCCAAAAGGCTAATACATGGACTCTTTCTAAATTTTTCCAAACGATAGCTTATGACCCACCGGATATTCAAGCAATCGAGGTTGACGAAAAATGCAGCAACTGTCCTAAGGTTTACTATCCAATTTGTGCTGCTGATAATAAGTCTTACGTAAACGAATGCAGACTCAAATGTTATTATATAAATGTAGTGAATACTACTATAATACCCAAGGTTGTAAGAGAGGGGCCTTGTCGCATTTTTCCATAGTATTTCAATGTGTTTTTGACTTTAATAAAATTAGACTTGTAATTTAATTGTAAATTTTATTTTATTGTCATCAAGTACCAAATAAACATAATTTAAGCCAAATCGTCTAGTTTACTCACATATGGTTCACTTTGTGTTCATTCGATTAGAAAATTTGAGATGTTCATTGTTCGAACCAATTCTTCTGGTTCAATGGCTCCCAAAATTTACCTTTAAACCGTACCAATATATCTATACGTTAGGCATTCATTTTGTTTAATATAGCGTGTAAGTTTCATAACGCGGTGGGAAGCTTCAAGTCGTTGGACCTAATAACTTTACCACGACCTATTAAGCAAAGGAAAATTTCTTACACATACCATTGCT